TTTTTTTTTTTTTTTTTTTTTTTTTTTGAGCCAGGGTCTTTCTCTGTCACCAGGCTGGAGTGCAGTGGCACAACCTCAGCTCACTGCAACCTCTGACTCCCTGGTTCAAGCGATTCTCCTGTCTCAGTCTCACAAGAAGCTGGGATTACAGGCATGCACCATCATGCCCAGCTAATTTTCATATTTTTAGTAGAGATGGCGTTTCAAGATTGGCCAGGATGTTCCTGATCTTTTGACCTTGTGATCCACCTCCGCCAGCCCCCCCAAAAGGCTGGGATTACAGTTGTGAGACACAACAACTGGCCTTAGTTTCATCTTTTAAAACAATGATATGTGAAGTCTTCCTTGATTCTGCATGTCTTTCCCCAGATAAAAAGGTACCTCCTTCCTTGAGGCTGCCTTCTGACTTCACTGATTTTTCTACTGCATCTTTACCACCTGAACTGTACATTATTCCCCCACATGTCTGTCCCCTCTGCTCCAAGACTGCAGAGAACAGTCTTGCACATAATCTTTGTAAAAACAGTCTTTATTTTACTCACAAATTTCTTATTGAGTCCTGCTACATACATGCTAGGTATTAGGGTTTAAAAACAATGAAAATAAAGCATATCAGGGATGGCTTTTCTAGAACACATGCCCAAGCACAGACTGAAATATTGAGGTTAGCCAGATTAAAAGTGGTAGAGGGCAGGAAAGGGTAACAGCATTCCACACAGCAGCAAGAGCAGGAGTGAGGCCTGAAAGAGTGAACGAGTGAGTAGGACATTACCAGCAGCTCAGTAATGCCAGAGAAAGGGCGCACAGGGAAAAGGGCTAAAGATGGAGAGTGGGGCAGAAGTCAGATTAAGGCATTACCAGAAGAATAACAACAATGCCAGAGAAAGGGCAATAGGAAAAGGGCTAAAGATGGAGAGGCAGAAGGCAAGATTATGAAAGCCTCACATCCAGGTTAAATACTAGTGTACAACCTGGAAAGCTGGAAATCATCTGACATTTCTCTCTGTGCTCCCAAACTCTTCTCATTCAATTATCACTAAATCATATTGACTATACCTCTTTCTTGCCTCTGCTTTATATTCCCACTACCACTGGGAACATAAACATTTACAAAATGGTTTTTATTTAAAAGAAATGCCAACTGTTAATGCTGCTATACCTAAAAAAATTAAGCAAAACAAATGAAAAAGCATAAATACCAAAAAAGGCCAAATATATTAAATGAGTAACTGAGATTCTGAACTTTATTTCACCATGGATGGGTGAAAACTTTGTACGTATTGATACTAGTCCAAGGATGTGTGACAAGGAAACTATAGTTCACTACTGCAAAAAGCTTCCTTTGTCTCCTGGCTTTACCTGGTTCCTCTCCCCATCAATCTCCCAGAAACTATAGGCCACAGGCCAAATTCAATCTGCCTATGGCTTTGTAAATAAAGTTTTATAGAGCTCTAGTCATGCCTGTTTGCTTACATAGAATCATCATGGCTTTCACACTACAACAGCAAACAACATGGGTAAGTAGATATGACAGAGACCACATAACCTCAAATATTACCTAATTGGTCCTTTACAGAAAAGCTATAACCCGCTTTACACCATGACCAGAAGGCCTTAGTACTCAAATTTAATCTTGCGATTCCCCTGCTCAAATGTCTCCAATGAGCCTCTGCAGCAAACACTGTGGGCTCCCTAGCAATAGCCACGCCTTATTCTTTCTTGCAGAAGAAACACAAGTCTATTGGGATATTTATTATCCCAATCCCCCTCCTCAGCCTCAGAAACAGAAATGTTTATTCTAAGCTAATCACATACTTGCCTTCCCAGTGCCTGGTTTGGGAATGAGCATGTGGTGTGACCCAGCCAACGAAATGTTACAGGAAGCCCCTTGCATGCTTCTAAGTTTTCCCGTTTAAAAGACACATGTGAAGAAAAGCAGCTCTTGTGATGTTGTGCTGTGAGAACAAGATGTTTGGAGCTGCTGCGATTAGCCAACCATGAAAGAAGACGTATCAAAACACTGCCAATAGCACAGCTGAAAGAGGAACAAGTGGGATACCTAAAATATCACCGAACAACCAAACAACTTCTGGTTCCTACTGTTTTAGCCACTGCTCATCAGTATTTGCAGTCCAAAGCATTCTCTATCTGCAAATTTCCATGGCCCGTGAGATAAGCTCCTACTCATTTCTACAGTATTAAAACATCTACCATAAACTTGCCTTAGCTAAGTATTCACCTCATTCCCAACCTCTGGTATCTCACACTTTTGGTACTAGCAAAAAGTGAACTGCCTCAGAAACCCCGCAAAGTTCACTCTCAAGTGTCTTTTTCTTTTGCACTTGCTGCTCTTTCCTGCCAAACAACAGGTAACTTATTAGACGTTCCTTCTGGCAAACACACCAACTCGTTGCATGTTCCTTCTGCCAAACATTATTCTTCTGCTTTACTCAGAAAAAGCTTTTCTCACTCTGTATGTTTACCTTAAATCACACCTGCTTTTTTTCCAAAACTTTTATTCCTCATCACATATGTCTGGTACATAATCAATATATAATAAATCATAATTATAAGTTTCCAGTGGGCATCTAGCACACAGTAAGTTGAATTCTAACAAAGTAGTAAAATAATAAAAATGACAATGATAATAACAAGCTCCTGTCTGTATTTTTGTTTGTGTTCTGTAGCATTACAAAAATGGTTAGAATCTAAAAGATATTTGATAGTTATTTCATAAGTGACAAGTGAAACATAGATAGAAATGTGTTCTTTGAAAATTCTGTTGAAAAAGCACAGAAATGGAGACAGCTCTATCATGAGCACCTTTTAAAGATCAAAACTACATCTGTTCCATCTTGTCTCCCGTAACTTATGAAACCTAACTTACAGAAGCTCTGTGATAGACAGACAGCTAAAGGTGTCCTCGTACAGTTTGGATTATACAATGTATCAGGTGTCCACAACCCAGTAGCATACTAGCATTTTTGTTATTGTGAAACATTTTTCTACTTTTATTATAATCTGCTGAGCTAGAGGCAATTTGTATATTTATTATGGCAATCTTTTGGCAAATGATAGCAGAGCATCTTGTTCTAACAAAATTACTGTTATCATGACAATTAACCAGCAAGTAGAACACATCTTGTTCCAACAAAGTGAATGTATCTCTTTCCAACTTCAAATGAGGAGGAATGAAGTCAGTAATAGTGAAACCTTGTTGGGACAAGCATATGTAACACTTCCACTTGTGCTTCAGCATTCTTGTGATCAAAAATTCCTTACTTTTACTTTTTTATCTATGGTAGGACCACCCAGAGCAGGAGTCCACAACTCCCAGGCCACAGACTGGGACCAGTCCATGGACTATTATGAGCCACACCACACAGGAGAGGTGAGCAGCAGGCAAGCCAGGAAGCTTCGCCTGTGTTTACAGCCACATCCTGCCTATATACGCCTGAATCCTGCCTCTAGTCAGACCAGTCAGAGAATTAGATACTCATTGGAGCATGAACCTTGTTATGAACTGCCTGTCTGAGGGATCTATGCTGTGTGCTTCGTATGAAAATCTAATGCCTGATGATCTGTCACTGTCTCACTTGCCTCAGATGAGACCGTCTAGTTGCAGAAAAATAAGCTCAGAGCTTCCACGGATTCTCTACATGATGCTATTGTAAATTATTTCATTATATATTACAATGTAATAATAATATAAAGTAGCACAATAAATGTAACATGATTGAATAATCCTGAAACCACTCCCACCTTCCCTCAGCCCATGGAAAGATTGTCTTCCACAAACCAGTCCTCGTGCCAATCACACTATCACAAGTCTTACCTGGATTGTTATTTTCAGAAGAGATTTTTAGCATCCGTTTTTCTTGTAGTCAGAAAATAACTGGCAAATTTCTATGTATAAAAATGCAATAAACCAAATTACTATTTTAATACTGATATAAAAAATACTTACCAAATGTAAAATTCTTAGAGTATTTCTAATATCATAATATCAGAACTTAACAGTATTATCCCATTCACTTATGAGTACATTCTACAAACTTCTCTTTAAGCTTCTAATTAAAGAAGAAAACAATGTAAGGTGAAATGCTCAGAAATCAAGGGCATTGTGACCCAGTAAATTATCGTGACATAATAGAAAGTGTCCCAGCTCTGCATAAGTCCTAGCTCCATAATGAACAGCTATTTGTTCTTGACAATTTGCTTCTTAGGCTCAATGCCTCTTCAACAAAGTGAGACTTTGCTGCCTTATTTCATATTTCACTAGGTTATAAAGATTTAACAAGATATTTTTTAAAATGCTCAGAGAAATAGTAAAGCAATGGGAATAATCTGTTCCTAAACTTATGACTAAAATTATCTTGAATCCCAAATAAACCTAATGTGTATTTTGTTCGTAGGTTCTAATATGCAAATGTAGTTTTCAGAAAATGTTATTAAGTCCTAATTTTGCTTTTCAGTTGTCCTACCTCTTTTGGCTTATAATTCAGGGCATCTCAACTATGTCATAGTTTGTAACTAAATTTATTCATAAATATCTCATTGGTGCAGCTAATGTGATTGTCCACTATTATGGAGTTGACCAATCACACCAAGGGCAGAAAACCAATGGATGTTAAGACTCGGCTTGACCAATGATCCTTCTCTACAGACTCCAACTCTGAGCCAGATGTTTGTTAGGATAATGCTTTATATTGATGTTCAATGCCAGCTGGCAGGGGAGACCAAAACTCTTTTATTTTTTTTAGTTTCCATGAAGAAGTTGTAAGTTGACATTTTCTAGTTTTCGACATACATGCTAACAATATAATTTTGCACCGAACATGTTATTCAGCTCTAAGTCATCTCATAGACCATCTTACATGAGTATTTTTGCAGCGCAAATCACAATTTCAGTATTTTGGTGGCGCCCATCTTTTGCTTTGCTTCACAGTGTTTCTTTACAGCTAGTCAGCAAATAGTCAAATGACCTTCCAGTGACTGCACAGAATATGGAATGCTTCAAAAATTTGTGCTGCCTCCTTATGCAGAAGCCATGCTAATTTTCTCTGTATTGTTCTAATTTAGGATATGTGCTGCTGAAGCAAGCAATAAAGCCCTACTTTTACACATGATTAGTGATGAGTCATGGATGAGGCTTGGTCTGTTAAGTTCAACTAACCATTGAAGAGATTCTGAGAATTCTCTTCAATGGCTTCCTGTGAGGTAGAATTTGAAAATATTTTAAAATCTTGAGCTAGAGATAGAAGTAGCTTGATGATTTTCTATTATCATGTAAAACAGATCACCCAAGGGGCCAACCACAACTGACATTCCCTGCTCTGGGAAGGTTCATATAGACTTTCTCCTGCCTAAGGTTCATACAGATAAAAGGTGTGCCTCACAGCACAGATCTGGTGAAAAGAAGAAGAAACAAACACTGATCTTTCTCCCACATTATTTGAACCTCTCTGACCTTCAGAACAAGCCCACCTGATATCTGCTAGAGAAAAGACCAACAACTGCCCCAAAGGATCTCTGACCATGAAGGTCTCAGCTCATTCTTGGCTAAGATGTGGGTTCCACATTAGGTTCTGAATATGGGGGGAAGGGTCAATATGCTCACTTTGTCTGCGGATAAAGTCAGATGCCCAGCAGCCAGAGCAGGGTGCTGGGTGCTTGGGAACAATGGCTGAGCATATAAGCATAGGTATGGGAACTAAAATACGCTGTAACTTCAAAATCACCATATGAATTGCCAGGAAGGCTTGAGGGATCTGAATCAGTAAGGGCATCTTGGTGTCAAAGGTCAACCATTACCAGGCAGCAGGACCAGTTTGAGTGGCAACAATGCAGCGACAGAAACAATGGAACAACAGAATGACTGAATGTCCTTTTTTCCTCCTCCTTCTGGACTTGATAAAGGGACTGTCTTCCTTGGATTTAGTGAACCCTTCGGTTCTTGAAAATCTCATGGAAAGTATGTAGGAGACAGTCCCCAGAAGACAGTACAAGGCTTCTGCTAAACTGACATTTCAAGACCCAAATAACTAATCAGAAAAATCAAAGATACGACACCATTTTTTTATCCCATGCATAGGTGTTATACTCTGGGATGAAATGAACAATGTTGGGATCTCTACGGATAAAAGTCTTAAAAGTCCTGAGATAAAGAATCCTCCACCCACTGGTACTTCTAACTTGCTTTTTTTCTGATTTCTGGCTGATGCAGGGGACTAACTCACTGCCATTCTAAAACTACCTGAACCGAACTATGACATCTCACCTGATACGTAAGATGCAATTGTTGTAATTATTTTAAACCTCAGTTTAGCATTAACTCCCCTTTTAATGTAAACACTACATATTATGAGTTGACTAGAAAACAGCATACTCTCTGGCCGTCTGTCCAGACAGATCTTGAGAAGATACATCAACATTTTGCCCAAGTAGAAGGCTGACTAGACTTGCTGATCCACAACATACAGCAAGTATGAGAGCAGTTCTAAAATGACAGAGATAATTTCTCCCTTAGGAACTGCAATAAAGTTATTTTTAAAGCTAATTTGATATATTTTACCAATTTAACATCTTGTCTCTCTGTGCAGAATCAAACATTTACATGCACCAAAAGACATAGCATCTTGGGTGCTCAAGTGTTCATCTTTGTAAAATACCACCAAGGTTAAAAGGAAGGGACAAAAAGGAAACCTCTTATCTCACTGGGGCACTGCATAGTAGAAGTTCACTTTAAAGTCCTTTGATGGGCAAGAAACACGTTAGGCCACTTATCTGAAGTGGACAAAGATTTAAGTGAAGATTTCATCACAGCTTCCCTAGACTGATACGCTGTAATAGAAAATCAGCTAGAGGGTAACATAAACAAGAGCTCTCTGCATGCTGAAAGCAGTACAATAATGATCATAGTAAGAATAGTAGTCACAGGAGTGTCAGTTAATGATGCCAATAAGCATGTACTAGGCACTGAATTAAGTGCCATATATATCTCTCTTACTTATTATGCACAGTCAACTTTGAAGCATGTGCTCTCCTACTTTCATATGACAACATATTTGGTGGTAAGTAACATTCCCAAGGTCACACACCTAGCAGGTAAGAAAGCTAGAATTAAATTCAGCCCTGTGTGAATCCAAAGCCTAGCTCTTTTCTCTTTATCACCCACCTACAGCTTGCCTTCATGAAAGGAAAAGTGTATCCACTCTAAAACTATCTTCACTCCCTCTTTCCACCAATTAAAAATAAAAAACATCAAAATACACTGGAAATAAAAAGGAAGAAAGCTGTTGAACCCACAGCATGTGGGAATAGCAATTAATTGTCATGTAGGATAAGCTAACATTAACATTCTTCAAAGAAAGCAACTTAAAGCACAGCCATTGAAAAGACAAAAGTAATTTTCTAACCCCTATTTATGTTTAATACAGCGTATTTAGTGGAAAAGCATATAAGACACAGAGGTTAAAAACTGGTAGAAAGGGTTAAGAAGTTCAATACTGAGTCATAAAGTAAAACTGGGAAAGTTAAAGTTCACACTTCATAAAATTAATACGAAATCCCTCTAGTTAACATAAGATCATGTAACTAAAACATCATACAAACAAAGAACATCAGTCAATACAATAAGAGAAGATGAATCCTACTAAAACTGTTCTTTATGTTGCCCAGTCCAAATAATTGTTTTTCTACCTGACTGATTTGTGTTGATACTGATCACTGTCCCAATAAGTACACATTAATCTTATTAATTTAACATTTGTGACTTGAGTGACTGCTATCAATCCAGTTAACAACACACAGATTAAAAGAAATAACTATACCTTCCATATCTATCAAGTGCATTTAAATTAGCTTTTTTCTTGATTAAAAATTTCACCACTTGCTGTTTTTGTTCATGTACACCAAGTAACAGCAGGTGAGGCCATGCTGTAAAACAATATAAAGCAAAAAATCTAATGTAATTCAAAAAGTACATACCTCAACTGAAGCGGAACTTTATATAAGATCCTAGACTTACACGCACATAAAAGCAACAAATGTGAGCTGTTTCCTCCTCAATCTTCTGTGTTTTCCCACATGCTGCTCCTTCCCTTGGAAACACCCCCTCTCTCCCTCACCACATCAACGCTGGATCATCTGAAAACTCACTTTCAACATTCACTGCTTCCAAGACTCTTTGCTTCTAACCCACCATTTGGCAAGCTATTATTGGATGATAATATTTTCCCCATCTAAACAAAGAGCTTCTTGAGGGCAGGGGCTGTATCTTTGTCTCTAGCATCCTCCACCCTAAGAAAAAATTGTTGTGTATAAAGCAATAATTTGTATAAAATATTTCTTTAGTTTCACGTTTACCAAAAGTTCAAGTCTAAATATAATAAAAATTGCTATTAATACTCATACTGCCCATTTCCAGAAAAATTTCCCAACATTTATTTATTGAAAATCTATTTATATTTAATTTTTCCAGATTGTTAATAGATAACCAGTTCATAGGACTACTGAAACTAAATTACAGAATTCCTAGCTGTATTCTTAATGACTCCATGGTTTCTAGTGTTTAGAACTGCCATGCTGATTATGCCAAAGCTCTACATACTTCCGAGACACACTGGATAGTCCATAACACAGCTTCAATTGACAAAAAACAGTTACAATTTGCTACAATTCTAACTGAGAAAACTTGCCTAACGCACGACTTACTGACCTAAGCACTTGAATGATAACAAAGAGACACAAAACTCAGAGGATCATCCTCTACTGACTAAAGACTACTCAGCCTGCAATACTTCCTAAAGACCTTCGAATGGCAGCAAATAACTGACGGTAGGAAGGAAAGGGTATTACTCTGTAAGCTGATAGATACTGCCAATAATATTCATTTTAATGTCTCACCACAGAGATAAAAGTCAGACCAGGCTAGGAACGGTGGCTCACACCCAACTTAGCATTTTGGGAGGCTGAAGCAGGTGAATCACTTGAGCCCAGGAGTTTAAGACCAGCCTGAGCAACATGGCAAAACCTCATCTCTACTAAAAAAAAAAAAAAAGAAATACAAAAACTGTTGGAGGACCATCTGAGCTTGGGGAGGTCAGGTTGCAGTGAGCTGTGATTGCACCACTGCACTCCAGACTGGGAACAGAGCAGTAGTGACCACATCTCAAAAAAAAAAAAAAAAAGTCAGATTAATGTAATTGGATAGGAAAGATTTACAGAAATCAGCACATATCCAACTACAACTCCTCTACAGATATCTTAAGTTTCCCTGAGATATAAGAATTCTACATATTACATTTATGTGTTCAGTGGGTTCTTACAGGTGTGTATCCAGATTTTGAGAAAATTGTTGTTGTTGTTGTTGTTGTTGTTGTTAGAGACAGGGTATCATTATGTTAACCAGGCTAGACTTCAACTCCTGAGTTCACAATCCTCCCGCTCAGACCCCCTAGCAGCTGGGACTACAGCCATGCACCACCATGCCTGGCTTCAAGGAAACATTTTTAAACATACATATCTAGGCTTTACTGGACTTACTCTATCAAAATCTTCAGGAAAAGCCTAAACTTATTGATTATTTAAAATTTCTCTCAGGTTACTGATGCAAAATTTAGCTGGAAGCTAATACACGACAGTTACTCAGTCTCATTTCTCACCCACATGACCACCCCCTTCATTTGAAGATTTGCCAAAAGAGGAAAGAGTAGGAGACAGAATCATTTGCTGAAAACACCACATAATTTTCCCCGCTAAGAGAAGAACAAGGTCTAGTAAACTCAAAATCCAACTTGATCTTGTTACTTAAAGTCTTTATTTCCCACCTTCCCATCCAGACATGCTAGATTTGAAAGCAGAGTTGAGACTCTAACTGGCCATTTCTACCAGAATAGGATACTAAGTCAGTTAATTACTTGTTATTCCCTCTGCTCAAGGGTTTCCCATTACATGACCACCTATTCACTGCCAATTTGGTTCTTCAGAGGCCTCCCTAAAATTGATCTCAGGCAGTTCACAACTCACTAACTCCTCTCCCAAATGAAAACTGTCATTCTCTAAAATTGAACCTTGTCTCACCACACAAAGGGAACAAATA